TGGCAGCCACCAAGATACAGAGCCGTGTCCGCGGAAAGCAAGCCAGGCACCGCAATCTCAGTCAATGCCGTAGCAGAAGTTCATTGTTGGACTGGCGCCTTTCTGCTGATTCAAAATAAGTCGATCCTGGAGTTGTGCTGTCAACAGACTTGGGGACTCTGAACTTTTCTCAAGACATCTGTAGCCCTCCGAAAGGACTCAGCAAAGCCAGCTGTGCAAACTGGACCTCCGAATCTGCAGGCGGGAAATGGAGAAGAAGAAGCAAGAAAGTTTTACCAACGATGAAGTCGCGGAGAGTTCCATCAAAAGCCCGGGTGCAGCATTCGACCACGAGCAAGAGTTGGCAGCCACCAAGATCCAAAGCCGGGTCCGTGGGAAGCATGCCAGGCGGGGCACCTTCTCACAAGCGGGGTTTGTGAACGTGACCTGGTAGGGGCTGTCACGTCAGGCGCGAGGTGGAGATGAAGAGGCAAGCGGCCAAGCCCAAGCGAGACCAGGATGCCGATGATTCCGACCCCGCTCCACGCAGTGCGGTTGACCGGGAACAAGAGCTAGCCGCCACTAAGATCCAGAGCCGAGTTCGAGGAAAGCAAGCCAGGTGTGGGGCCAGCATCCGTGCGATACATGTTGCATTCAAACTGTGCAATGCTTTTAGGAGCGGCATGCGCCAGACCTCCCGTGTCAAAGAAGGGAGCCCAAAATGTGACACGTTTTGCCCTGTAGGCGTGAGGTTGAACAGCGCAGACAAGCAGCACCAGTCAGGGAAGAGGCGGAAGATGAGGACACTCGAGCTCCGCACCAACTTGGAACGGGGCATGTTACTGTGATATCTCATATGTTCTCATATGACGCGGCCGGAGGCTTCTAATTTAGGCAGACCATGATGCAGACACGCGAATTGACGATAATTGTTTGTGTCTCCCTGCAGGTAGTAAGACCAGTGAGATCCTCCCAAACCCATAACCTCGACTCATACCTTCAGTGCCTTTTTGAAGGGTCTCACATGAGGCCAGGGGAGCGTGTGAGAGTGTCCCCTGTTACAGGAGGCCATGGATGCTGAGGAGGAGCTGGAGGATGCAGAGGCGGAGGAGGCAGATCCTTGCAAAAGAACCATGAACAATCTTGGATTCTTGGATATGGAAGTTTCTCTAAGATGAGAGGTACCATTCTGGGGTCGGTAGAATAAAGATTATAGTATTTTGGGGTCCCCTATTTTGGGAAAGTATCATATTGGAAACTTACAGAGCCAGTGGTGCAGGAGGCAGGCAGCTCGGCCAACGAACACGCGGCCGAGTCTGAAGGGGACGCCTGAGTCATGATGGGCCGACGGGGGACCTTCCGTCCTGAAGCAGCTAAAATCAGTCTGCTCCGTTGCGCCTGCTGTACACAGCTTATGCTCTTTCTCCATTGCCGCTCTTGAGCGCGCATAGGAAGGGCCTTGATATGGGAGTTTCTCCAAACGATCCTCAGAATATCCTCAAAAGGGTCTTCGGCACCCATACACCATCAGCTACACATCCCTGGGTCCCTACGGGTACCCATTCGGAGAAACCCTCATGTAGATAGTGCCTGCAGGACAGAAGGGCGTGTTTGAGCAGTGAGTGGGCTTCTTGGTCAATAAGCGGAAGCATGGAATATGACCAGCGCATACCGGTCCCTGGCTGGCCAGGAAGTATGATGGCTTCAGAGAGCTATAAACTACCCTAGGATCCCAGTTTCCATTTCAGTTTCCATTTTCTTTTCCATTTGGTTCTCCATTAGAAGGGGATATGAGCTATCTGCTTCCTTGCAGTCTTTCTGGCGTGATAACTTATGATAACTGACTTGCTGTTAATCTTGCCAACCAGTTTGCACACTGCTCACATGGCGCTGTCCAGCCTCGGAAGAAAAGGCTTACGTAGAAGTTGGTGTGTGCGTGGTGGCCGTTCTCACTCGTCCATGATATACATTAATACAAGAGAGTACGTGATTCAGAGATGCAGGTGTTAGGAAGCTGCATGTTTTCACGATGTTTGTTGGGCCATTCGGTCTGATGGCAAGAGACGTTTACAGGACATCAGGGGACATTTTGCAGTGCCTTGCTGCCTACGCCTCCGACACCTCCCCGTATCCCTTCAGCCCAACCCACCCGCACAGAACCCTCGTAGCAACAAGCCCTAAGCCCCAAACCCTGCGCCCAATCATCAGGGTGTCTGGCTGGGTGCTAGGTAGGAAGAGTCCTATAGTTTCTTTCAGTTACTATTCTGGACAACACTAGTGTTTCCTACACACCGAAACCCTCAGCCCGAAGCGTTATAGATCCCCTATATGGTTCGGTATATCCCTGGGTGGCTGGAGGCTTCCTGATGAGAGCTCAACTGGCTGTCAGCCTAGGCTCAATTTCGAGGCAGCAGAAGGGTTTTGGACCGGGAAAACCCAACTTATAATATCCCATAGCCCCTTCGAAGTCACAAGTACCACTACGGGAAAAACCAAGGTATACTCAGGTAGTGTCCCACAGTCCGTTATGAGTATTTTTCTTCATTATTCTAGATCACACTCATGTTTTTGTTATATGCTTACCTAACTTGGAGCTCCAGCATGAACTGCGACCTTATATGGATCGTAGGTTTATTGTTAGAGGCTCTCCCAGAGAAGTTGTGCGAGCCCCGGACTGGCAGTCGATACAGAGATCTGAATGAAGCTACCACCCCATGTGTAGCCGTCATATCATGTACACCCAACCTGACTCTCATTATGATTTATAGATAGATTCATAGACATATACTGCAACATCCTCGCCTGCTTCGCACTTCGCCGGTGGCTTCGTCCGCTTGTGAGGCCTGTGTCGTGAGATCAATAGATTTACTATGACCATACAGGGGTATATAGGGATAATGGAAANNGTTTTGAGTTTTGGATTTTGGGTTTGAGTTCTCACCAATGATCTGGATCAGGCGTTGGCCGTGTAGTATCAGGCTTGCACGGGGATGATGTTGCTGGATTTTCAGGTTTTACTATCATTATTTGATTTTTTGGGGTACCATGTTGGTACATCAAGTGGTTGTATATTCCCTATTGCAAAAGGCTGGTGGGAACCTGAAGTGGCCACGCAGGAGGGACCCTTCTTGCAGACCTTGCAGCTTTGGTGCTTTCGGGACTGCCTGGAGAGGAGGAATGGCAGAAGGACGTTGTATGGACATGGGATCAGGGGCCCCGCAGGGTCGCAACCAAAAGGCAGCGGTCCTCCTTTACAAGGGCTCGGCCCCAAAAAGGCACGGAACTTTCAGAGAGCCCACCCTTGTCAAACCATAAGAGTCACAAACCTGAATTTCGCTCCAGGCGGCAGAGGCATGCTGAGCGGCTACTAGGATCGCATTCTTGACCTGCATGAAGGTGGTTGCAGTCTTTGGGGGAGTGCTTGGGGACCCCATACTGTGCACTCTGCAGTTGTGCTTTATGGCCCCGGTCGCTTTTAGCAATTTCCGTCTAGATTCCCAAGTCCCAGTTGATCGTGCTTCCTGCGATGGCAGCAATTGCAGATGATGCGTGGGGTCATGTGATCGTGTTTCGTGTTGTCGTTTCCGAAAGTTGGATAGGTGCTATCATTACCGGTACAAAGCTCAATGCCGCCATGTGTGTGACCGCCACGCAATGCGGCGTGTTCTGGGTTCCTGCACGAAGCATGTGTTTCATAGTTGATCAAATAGTCGCGCCCCTGAGAATTCTCATCCCTAGACCCAAGCCCGACAATCTCAACCCCAAATCCTTAAACCCCA